CTCACTGTATTTACTGTCACCACTTGTTTCCATGCTCTTACAGTGCCAATAAAATAAAACTAGAAAGCATGAAATATAACTTGTCTTTTCACTCATTTCTTGCTCTCTTATGGAGCGTTCACATGCTGTCGGAGTTATCGGAAGTTTGGAGTTCCGACAGGGAAGTTTCACTTGAACGACCCTCTAAGTGTTGGCTGGGCTCCCTGCCTGTGCCATTAAACCCCTACAACTCATCCAGAATGCCGCAGCCCACCTGGTGTTCAACCTTCCCAAGTTCTCTCACGTCACCCCGCTCCTCCGCACACTCCACTGGCTTCCAGTTGAAGCTCGCATCTGCTACAAGACCATGGTGCTTGCCTACGGAGCTGTGAGGGGAACGGCACCTCCGTACCTTCAGGCTCTGATCAGTCCCTACACCCACACAAGGGCATTGCGTTCATCCACCTCTGGCCTGCTGGCTCCCCTACCTCTGCGGAAGCATAGTTCCCGCTCAGCCCAGTCAAAACTGTTCGCTGCTCTGGCACCCCAATGGTGGAACAAGCTCCCTCACGACGCCAGGACAGCGGAGTCACTCACCACCTTCCGGAGACATTTGAAACCCCACCTCTTTAAGGAATACCTGGGATAGGATAAAGTAATCCTTCTACCCCCCCCCCCCCCCCAAAAAAAAATAATAATAATAAATAAATAAAAAGGAAATATATATATATAAAAAATTGTAAAGTGGTTATCCCACTGGCTATAAGGTGAATGCACCAATTTGTAAGTCGCTCTGGATAAGAGCGTCTGCTAAATGATGTAAATGTAAATGTAAGTGGGAAACTCTAAAATGTTGTTACCCGAGTTGTGACGTTTCACCACTGACCTTTCACCTTTTCAACCAAAAGATGACAACAAATCCGTTTTTTTTACAATCACAAACTTATCAATGTGGATAATGTAGATAGTTTGACCATAATGTCAATGTTAAGCAAGCTAGCTAACTTTCAGTGGTGTAAAGTACTTAAGTAAAAATACTTTAAAGTACTACTTAAGTAGTTTCTTTGGGTATCTGTACTTTACTATTTCTATTTTTGACAACTTGTACTATTACTTCACTACATTCCTAGAGAAAATAATTTACTTTTCACTCCATACATTTTCCCTGACACCCAAAAGTACAGCAGACAGGAAAATGGTCAAATTCACGCGCTTATCAAGAGAACCTCCCTGGTCAACCCTACTGCCTCTGATCTGGCAGACTCACTAAACACACATGCTTCGTTTGTAAATTATGTTGGAGTGTTGGAGTGTGCCCCTGGCTTTCCGTAAATAAAAAAAAAACAAGAAAATGGCGCCATCTGGTTTGCTTAATATAAGGAATTTGAAATGATTTGCACTTTTACTTTTGATACTTAACTATATTTAAAACCAAATACTTTTAGACTTTTACTCAAGTAGTATTTTACTGGGTAACTTTTACTTGAGTCATTTTCTATTAAGGTATTTTTACTTTTACTCAAGTATGACAATTGGGTACATTTCCACCACTTAGCTAGCTTATCAAGCTAGCTAAAATCTTATTGGTTGAAGAATTGGTCTGACTTCAAAAGCACTTGAACACAATAATGTCAGACTTACCACTTCACCCTTACCACAAATGCCCCATTACTCACAATATAATTTTTCTCCAAGTCACCAAATGGCTATTATACACCCCTTGGGTTCCCATTTGAACTATGATTTTCCCCGCGAGGAATGTGTAACCACTTCTGTCGCTCTGTCAAAACATTAGTAATCCTAGCTTGCGATACAGTTTTGCAAACCTTTGGAATTGTACTTTAAATTTGCTAAAGAATTTTACAAATACTAAAGATACACTTATTGCAAACAGTTTTAACACAGATTCTCGGCAGGCAAAGTCATAGTTGAATTATAATGCTGTTCCAGGTATGTTCACAAACTTAAACACGCCATCGGGCTTTGAACAAATAATGCAAATGGCTTTTGAGAAGAAAACAAATCCATTTAAACAGTAAATTCATTGATGGGCACCAAACGGTAAACACTAACAGCATGCAGTCACAGCAGGTCAACACTTTCTATTTGGACGATTGTCAGAGACACTTTATATTGTTAGGCCTGTTAACTTAGGGCGACATTTACGTAGTGCAAAATACTTGTGGAAAGTGCAGAATGTACCATAGACCTCATTATAATCTGGCAGTGTGATTTAATTTGAAACTTTGGCTTCTCTTAAACCTCATAGGCTGCGTCTTCAGCACATACTGATACCTCTCAAGGGTTATGTTTACACAGGCAGCCCAATTCTGATGTTTTTTCCACTAATTGATATTTTGACCGATCATATCAGATCTTTTAACATCAGATCTATTTTCAGAGCTTTTCAGATTGGTCAAAAGACAAATTAGTTTAAAAAAATTAATCAGAATTTGTCTGCTTGTGTAAACGCAGCCTTACTCTTTCTACTACCAACTCAGGTTAGCACCAATGATGTATATAAACCTAAACCCTAGATGACTGGCGGGACGCTGTTTTGAAGCCACTGCACAGCCATTTCTGTACTCCTCCACTGTTTTTGGTCTACATTCGTTTTTTGTCAAGTATATTCTATTACAGACACCTTAATGCATACTTTTAAAAATTTGAGACTACTAATGTTACTGTCCCCACTACAACAAATAAATAAATGTAATGTTGTCCTTTAATGGTTGCTCATTCTGAGGAGTACCAATATGGCGGCCGGTGACTTCTCCTTTAATGGCTGCTCATTCTGAGGAGTACCAATATGGCGGCCGGTGACTTCTCCTTTAATGGCTGCTCATTCTGAGGAGTACCAATATGGCGGCCGGTGACTTCTCCTTTAATGGCTGCTCATTCTGAGGAGTACCAATATGGTGGCCGGTGACTTCTCCTTTAATGGCTGCTCATTCTGAGGAGTACCAATATGGCGGCCGGTGACTTCAAAGCCTCTCACTAGCCAACGCATAGCATCAGCAATTACTTACATCACTGGTTGGCAAGATACATAAAATGTATTGCATCAAAGTGAATTATTATATTTCTCTGGGACAAAGGCTATTCATACACATCCTTTTTTAAAAATTTTTTATATATATGACAGGTTTATTTACATAACATAATCATAAAGCACTATTTGTTTAGAACTGAACGCAGTCTTGACACTAGAATCAGTTTCTCTGAAATTACATGATCTTCCCACATTCACTGTCGAGCTAATTGGTGTTCAACGCTACTGCGAACAACAAGGGCATCGGTCCCATTGTCACAGCACGCTCCCTCTCCTCTCTACCCATTCTGAAAGGGTTTCCAATCACTTCGCTGACAAGTAGGAAGAGAGCCATTTAGCAGAGACTGCACTGCATTTCAAATCTCCCTTAAAAGTGGTCCTGTGCTGATCAGTTGGTAGAGCATGGCGCTTGCAGGGTTGTGGGTTCGATTCCCGGGGCCACCCATATGTCAAATGTATGCACGGATGACTTAGTCAAATTGGCATATATGCTAAATGGCATATATTATTATTATATAAAAAGCATGTCTGTTTAGAATCCATTGAACCATAATCACCTCATAGCAGTCTCTTATTACCAAAAACAGCAGCTTTCCTAATTCAGGTATGTTGGTTGTCGTCATGACATGTAGTAACTGCCATTACTGGTCATTTCTTTTTATGGATAGGACTGAATCATTCTGATGTCATGATTATCTTCTAAGGAGTACGGTGAGCCTGTCCTAATATGGACACCGTAAAGGAGATTAAACTAAACCTTATTTGTTCAGCCATACAGCCACAATTCTTTCGAAGAAACAGAAAGACGTGCAAGTTTTTTTTTATTTTACCCTTCCTCTCCCTGACTCAAACGCACGTATGCGCACACAAGAAAAAAAATTATCTGGACAAGTGAGCACTATGTGCTGTTTTAATATGGAATGTATGCCATCTCTAGGCAACACAAACATTTCTGTACAACCGTCAACATACAAGACAACCTATATATACACTCACAAATATATAAAGACAAGACAATTAATGTTCATAAAATTGACGTTGGCTTAATAAATAAGAGGTAAATGTAGAATGTGAAGAGAAGGAAGTAGTGAGCAATGACAGTAACACTTTTTAGCAGTAGAAGACGTGGACCCCTTTGACTAGGGTCCCCTGGATCCATACGTGTACACTAGTTTTTGCTCATTTCAATGACCTATTGCTGTGAATGAAGTCCTTTGGGCATCCGAAGCAGAGAATACATAACGTGCACATCATTAGCCAATTAACTAATCAATTATATATAATCAAGGTAAGAAGTTGACTGACTAGAAAAGAGTGACTCTATACAGGGTCTTTGATTTTCATTCCATTTGACAATTCATGATTATATAGAATTACAAGAGAATCCTTGAGATATCACCACATCAGGGGGGATATACAAAGTGGACATAGGGCAATTAATGAACCATTAGATCCCAGTATGGCGCTGACTCTCTCATATGTATTTTAGTGGTCAGGTCATGTGTACTGAAGGTTAAGTCTAGTGCAGGGTGAGAGTTCAAGGAAAGATGGTAGACAGCAAATGATGCAATGCTCTGTTTCAGACTCAATCCCTCAATTTTCTGGTCAGCATTTCCCCCAAAAAACCATTGCCATCAGACAATATCATATATTTCTGTGTTTTCCAGTAAACAGTAAAGTAGTGCTGCTATGATGTTGAGTGGCTCTCATTTTATGTCAGAGACACAGTAGCCGCTGGGCACAAACTGGTTGTATCAATGTTGTTTCCATGTCATTTCAACAAAACTATTCAAATGTGAAGACGTTGAATCAACATGGAAATGGATTGGATTTGCAAAAAGTCATTGACGTAAAGGAATTTAGGTAATTTGTCTTTTTTTTCACCCAACTTTTACCCAAAATCCAATGAGATGGTTAAAATGTTTGTTGGTTTTACTTTGAATTCACGTTAGTTGACAAGTCAATCAAATGTAAATCAAAACTAGACATTGAAGTGACATCTGTGCCCAGTGGGTAGCCACCCTAGAAAGAAAACTAAGAAAAGTTCACTCCCTCCAAAAAATTGCTTTCTTCAATTGTGCAATTCAAGCTATACAAAAGGTGCTTTAGACAGACATAATTTCAGGATCAAGAGAAGGTTCTCTTGAGTATTATACATAGATGTTTAAAACATTTCTATGCAACATTTCTGAGACAAAACAACTACAATTTCCCTGGGCTGTCACTATAACTGCTTCTATGTACACAGAAAGTTTGAGAGCAAAGCTTAAGTCATTAAATTGCAGTACAGGACTGGCCAACATGCACACTTTGGACCGAATCCTAACTTGAGATCCACATACCTAACTTAAACCCTTTAGTTGATGACAAATATGAACTGAATAAAAGGTTACTTAAAAAGTTTACTGGTGCTGTTCACCTCAAGTTAAGGAACTTTTGTCTCAAGTTTTTCACCACGTTCTGTTGACTAGCATCTGTCTTTTTGACCGAGTTCGTGGCCGTTTTCTGGGCATCGTCAAGCTTTTCATCTGAGGGTGGACCCTTGTCAAGTTCCTTGCCCCTCCCACTCAAGGGGACTGACTCTGCCTTAGCCCCGCCCTCCTCCCTTTGCCTATACTCATCAGACTCCTGATAGGCCCGGCAGCGGTCGATTACAGCCATGATGGAGATTTTCTCTCTAGTGGTCGGTGAACGGATCTGGACATAGCTATCATCTATGTCCTCTACCACCTCTACTCTCCTTGCCCTGAGTACCATCTCCAGCGGTTCTGCAGAGGTGCATTCTGGCTCAGGCTCCGGAACCTTCTCCACAACAATGACCCTGTGGTCATCGGGCATGGTGGCCTGTGCTGAGATGTAGTAACTGCCATTAGGGACTTCGTCCTGGAGGTTCTGCAGCTCATTCAGATGCAGCCCACTCAGCCTCTGGTCCAGTGACCCGGCCCGGTGGAGCCTAGCCAACCCCTCTCCAGGCCCAGGGTCCCTGCTGAGGTGGGGTCTGTGTGTCGGAGCCTCGACCGTACCACAAGCAGTGACTAAGCTGGAGCAGAAGCTTGAGCGCCTCTTGGGGCCGCTGTCCATCCTCTCAGGAACTGAGCGGCTTCGGTTAACTGGCGGCAGCTGGGATTGGTCTTTGTCTGAGCTGGCATACTTGGAGCGAAGTGTTCGCACATCGGGCCAGTTGAAAGCCTCGGTAGGCGTAGGACTGAGTGGGCTCTTGGCGCGCGTGCGGCCGGGAGAGAGGACCCGGGGACTGCCCAAAGAACTAGGCGTTTGAGCAGGGTTGGGAGATATAGCTATAGGACTCAACTCCTGGAGATTGCTCATACGATCAAACGAGAGCAGGGGCAGCGTCAAATTGGGTTTACCTGTAAAACACAAAGCACACCATGTAAACAAGACTTAACAGGAATTACCTGGGGGTCAGAAAATCAGAATAAGTTGAAAAGGTGTGCCTTTTTGGGGGGGAGGGGGGGGGAGGGGCATTCCCGTGTGGCATACTGTAATGCTCCGAAGGGACACTGCGGTCTATATTGCTTAGTAGTAGTTTTGGTATCTTCAGTTATGTTTACATGCACACAATATTCACGATTATTGTGAATACTCTGAGTAAAACAATATTCTGAGTAATGGCAAATCTACAATGAACTACAAACATCACATTCGCGTTCTGTCAGCATAATTTTTTGACTGCTACTCAGGCAGCATATTACGAAGGCAGCGCAATACATTTCTTCCAGTTTTTCAGAAGCTTCAGTGACTTGTGTCGGTTTCAGGAAAATAGAGTCTAAATAAGTGCTTTATGTGCTGCTGTACTGCTCACGCTGCCGAAGTAGTAGGCTGCATTGACAACAGTGGGAGCTTATCGTGAGCTCCGTCTCATGTCCGTCACGACCGCTAATATACCCACGACAATGACATACCAACGACACAATTTAGCAAACAAGCTAAATTGGCTGGAGAATACTAATTAGCGTTGCTAAAACCAGCTACTCATCATCCTACCTTGACTCACCCAATGCCTTCTCTTCTGGAGTAAGTTGCTTTCCTGTGTGCTTGTTTGCCGAAAAGTATTCAGAGAAAGAGCAATACTCCGATTAAGGCGTTTACTTGTCCTAATAATCCTATAATAATCTGGAAAATAGCTCGATATTCAACCTATTTTACTCGGAGTAAGCTTACTCTAATTAAGACTTTACTCTGCCTTACTCAGAGTATTGCCAAATAGAAGTAATACTGGTTCAGTGTGCATGTAAACTACGTAGGCCACATAAATAAAAACTGTATGATTTGCTAAGCAATCTGTCAGTAAACTCTTCCATCAACTCTTCACCCCAATGTGGGCAGCCCTATCCATCACTGGACACTGATATTTGCCAGGCTAATAGGAGAGCACCTCCTAGCGAGGCTAGGACTAGTTCAAACCCTACTTGGTAAAAAGAATAGCACAGCACTTCTTGAGGCACAACACTTGGGGACAAATAAGAATCTTCCCTACCTGAGTGCACATCATTTAGAAAAACACAACACTCTTCCACATCTTCCATACCTGAGCTCTCTGGCTTCTCTTCGATCACACAGGGCAGGTTTTTCTTGCCCAACAGGACATCTCGCTGCCTAGGAGCTGGTGTGGTGCACTTGATACGCTGGCTGTACTGCCGGGCCAACTGGAACACTTTGTTCTTGGCCATCTCCGCATCGTCCGGCGACTGAGGATCCTTGCTGGCCTCCTCCCCTTCCTCAGCCCTCAACTGGATGACCCTGGGCATAGGGGCTCTGGAAAGCCTACCCTCGTCTATCCTGGATCTGCGGGGATCCCTCAAACTCGCTGTACGGCCAAGCCCCAACCCCTTTCTCTTGATGGGCGAAGGGCTCATGGACTCTTCAGTGATGGTGCTCAGGTTAGCTTCCTCCAGTATCATAAAGGAATCTTCAGGCTCTGGTTCAGAGTTCTTCTTGGGAGTCTGGCTCCTTCTGCACAGGCTTGGACCAGCAACACTAGAGGTCTTCTGCTGAGCCTCTCGGTCTTTCACAGGGCCTCTGGCCTCTCCCTGGGACCTACTCCCCTTTTTCTCCATGTCCTGCCAAACCTTGATCATCTCAGATGAAGGTCGGAACTCCTCGTCATGGATGTGCCTCTCCTGTAAACTCAGAGACCTGTCCTTTCTCTCGGCCTCTGAACCCAGCACCTCAGGCTTCTTACTTCTCTCCAACTCCAGAGAGTCAAATGATGCACTGGAGGTCATGCGGTCCCAGGCGTCTGGAGCTGTTGATGAATCGGGTTCTGAAGTGGAAGGGTGAGGTGCAGAGGAAGTGGCCAAGGCTGATGCATCACTTTTCTCTGCGCAAGGGCTCTCGTCCGAACTGTTGAACAAGCTGACAGAGTTCTTCACAAGGCCAGTAGGGATGTAGGTCAGGCTCTCCCTGCGCCTGAGGCTGAAGTTGGCATCTTGGTGCTCGGCAGTCTCGTAGTAGCTTTTGATTTTGTCAATGAGCAACTGGTCCTGCTTGGATAGGGTAGAGTCTCTCCTCCTGTGGATCTCAAAGAGGCTGTCGTCCCTCGGAGAAAGCATAGTCAGATCCGTTCCGCCAAAGTTGTCCTGGGTTGGTTCGAAGCAGGTGCTGTTCAGCCAGTGGGGGCGTTCATTGGCTTCGCCGCCAAGGCTGAGGGTGCTGCCAGTACGGCTGGGAAGGCGTGGCGAGGAGCAGCCAAGGGAGCGGGCGTCATCCGTGCTGCCTCGCCTGGCGGTGTTGGTGAAGTGCTCTGCGATGGCACTGGCTTGATTCAGTACGGAGGGAGGCAGAATGCTGCTGGGGCCGCTCTCCTGTGCTGCTGCTACTTCCTCCTCTTCTTCTGAAGAATCTGCACTGCTCAAAGTTTTTATGTCATCTGACTGAGATGCTGACGACGCCTCGTCCTGTTCCTCCATCGCGTCCTCCTTGTCCCTCTGAGGCTCTGGTACCTCCATCCTCGGGGGAGTGGTGCAGACCTTGGGGGGAGTGGTGCAGACCTTGGGGGGAGTGGTGCAGACCTTGGGGGGAGTGGTGCAGACCTTGGGGGGAGTGGTGCAGACCTTGGGGGGAGTGGCAGAAGCCTTCTCTGAGTCCGAGGGGGCTGGCTTAGGCCTTTCAGTGGACTCCGAGGCAGAGGTCTTGGTCTGGAGCAGCGGCTTGTCCTGAGTAACCTGGAGAAAAAGGGTAATTCTAAGTAAGAGCACAAAAGCAACCTCCATCCTTAAAGCTGCAATATGTAACTTTTTGGGCGACCCGACCAAATTCACATACAAATCTGAGTTGTAGATCTGTCTCTCATTGAAAGCAAGTCTAAGAAGCGGTAGATGTCTTCTATGTGCGCTGTTTCTATACTTTCCGTTCTGAAGTTTCGCTTTTGCGTATTTTACTTTTGGTTTTGTACACCAGCTTCAAACAGCTGAAAATACAAATATTTCACAGCGGTTTAGATGGTACAATGATTCTCTACACTACACTATGCATTGCCTGTTTTGTCACAAACTGAAATTAGGCAAACTATTAGAATTTTTGCAATCAGGAAATGGCGGAGGGATTTTCTGTTGCTGCAAAAATCAACTCTCTAAACAAGTGAAGTCTTTTTCAAAATACACTGAAAACAAACAATGCAAAATGTGCATCTTTAAAAATGTGTCAGTACCTGGGTTGTTCCATGAAAGTAGTGCTTTTTATGTTGAACATCTACAGCAGTGATGGGCAACTTTGATGGGGTTGTGGTAGGGCTGGGCGATACGGCCTGAAAATCAGATCTCCATTTTTTCAAACTTATGAGCGATTCACAATATACAGCTCGATTTTTTAAATGTTTTCTCTAAATAATCATTGTACAATTACAGGTCAAATACACTGCATTTAATAATAATAATAATAATAATAATAATAATAATAATATGCCATTTAGCAGACGCTTTTATCCAAAGCGAATTACAGTCATGCGTGCATACATTTTTTTGTGTATGGGTGGTCCCGGGGATCGAACCCACTACTTTGGCGTTACAAGCGCCGTGCTCTACCAGCTGAGCTACAGAGGACCATTTAAAACAGTCAGCAATAATCTAATGAATTCAGGGCTTGTGAAGTTTTACCTAGGCTAAATATAAGCCTTCCACAACCATAACACCCATTCATTATTTTATTATTTTATCAAAATAGTTTAACCTGCTTTTTTTTTTTTTTATAATCACTGATATAGCTTTCAAGTCTGTCTATGAAAATTGCCTTTTTTGTTACACATTTTTCTAGAACCATGCATAATGCACATTCACTAATAATTACTAACTTCTTGTAGCAGTCATTAGGCTATAGAAAATTAACAAAGGTCTCATCAACAATCTCTCAAGCCCACGTGCTAGTGATTAGCCAGCTAATCTTTATCTTTCAAGTTTAGCCAACTTGGATTTCTTTGCTAACAAGGTTGAACAGTTGAATTGTTATGAACACACCCTTCTGTCTGTCTCCAACTATTATATATATTTTTTTGCCTGTCCACTTTGTTCAGCTGTTGAAATCAAGTGGCCTACCTTATTTCTCAGAATGAGAACGAGTTGCCAATACCTTATATAATTGTGTTTTATGCTTATTGCACATTTATAAAACACAGACTAGACAGCTAGTATAACAGTATTTGGCTGTTCGCGGTACATGGTACCCCAATATGACAAACTGAGCATTCACTTTTCAGAATCAATGAATCAATCATTGATACTCTCGTTTTAGTAGCGTCTGCTCTGCGCGCAATTTGAGTAGCTGAGACATAAAAAGGGTATCGTTAGAAAAGGGAACTTCTCCTCTATTACAGTAAATTAATGTCTCCAGGTGAATTGGTGTCCATATTACCGACTCTGTTGGGCCAAACCTCAAATGCAAATAGCGAGTTGAAACCGCTTGTCTGAGAGAAAAAAGTGATCTCTCAACTTTGTTGGCGTGAGAGGCGGGGGGAGGGGTTTGGTGTGTGTAAACCATAGAGGAAGAGGCGAAGTGAGAGGTTTACTCTCACTAAAATCTGTCCAAAATATGCACAATACGTTTCTATGGGCTTATTTTGGACTTAAACTTGTCGCCTGCCTTCCCGCCTTTGGGACAACGACTGCCATTGTTAGGGCAGAAACGTGCACCTCTTCATTATATACAGATCTCTGGTGTAAATGGGAAGGTGCACATTGACCCAGACAGGCCAGTTCCACTGCCATCCTTCGATGGAAGACATCAGTCAAGACAGATGGGCACAATGTGTCACTGAATAATGTCAGCGGCACTGGCTGGAGCAGAGACAGCGGTGAAGACAAACCCAATCCTTCAAGTCCCAGAGACTTGAGACAGATGAAAGTGGAGTAGACAGCAGATGAGTCATGTTTTCCCTCCATCCCCAAGATGATGTTTGATTTTTCACAGATTCAGACGGTACAGTGAGGAGCACAAATACCAACCAGCTCTGACACTCCTTTACCTTTTCCGCGATGGAGGTGCTTTGCTCTGTCCCCGACTGTAACACAGGACCAGATGAATGCCCATTCTCTTTGTAACACCCATTCTCCTCAATGACGTTGTCTCCCTCTTCATCCTTCAAGACAAAACAATAGAGAATTTTAGAACCAGGTTTAAAATATTTAAAATTAGCTTCCTAACCTCAGCCAATTAGCTTCCTAACCTCAGCCAAGACAGGGATAATGCTTCTTGATAAGCAGTAATACAATATTTGTCTTCCAGATTGCTTTTATAAAATTGTATAAATTGCCAATAAATCCTGTTCTTTTTGTCCCTCTCTGGGGTCTATAGTCTCACATTACTTAAATTATAAGAGTGAAACATGATACCGATCTGTTTGAGATGATGTGCATGGTAGGAATGGGACTAATTATTTGAGTCTGAAAATACAGACGGTAATGCATTTGCAAGGGGATTAGAGCCAGCTAAAGCCTGGGTTGTGAATCAGCAAACTTCATTATCAACGGCCCACTCTATGCATGACCAATCCCAGCAGACATGCAAATCAGTGTTGTGTTAACAGACGCCGCTAATATCAGACTGACACTCAAGTAGCAGTAAACACTCATTTTAGTTCAGCATCATTAAAACAGACAAGTAAGAAAATACCAGGGGATGTTTTTAGAGATGAAACATAGCTGGTTTAAAACCAGGACACTATGCATCACCTTCAGGACTGGTCAGTAGTTTAGAGCACAAACAGAAAGGGTGACTGCTCTTTTATTAGTGTGTACCTATCCTGGGATCAGTGTCAGTGTGAGACATTGGAGTTGGAGCCCAGGTTTGGGCTAAACTGAGAGATGAGGGCAGTTGCCGACCCTTTTTAGTACCCCCCTGTATATATAGCCTCCCTACTGTTACTTTATTTTACTTCTGCTCTTTTTTTTCTCAACACTTTTTTTGTTGTTGTTTTATTTTTACTTTTTTTGTTAAAAATAAATGCACTGTTGGTTAAGGGCTGTAAGTAAGCATTTCACTGTAATGTCTGCACCTGTTGTATTCGGCGCATGCGACCAATAAAATTTGATTTGATTTGATTTGATTTTAATTGAGAGATTCACAAGAGGCAATGATAACGACATTGTAAATAGCAGCAAAACAACGAAGGTCATTTTGTCAGTTAAATAGAAATGAATAAGGTTCCATTCATCCCCTTGTTTCTGCAGCACTGGCAGTCACTCAAACATGCACCCAGTACAGCCAAACTACAGAAGCAGCATTAGAGGTGCTCCAGGAGTATGAAGATCATGCATCTATTAGTCTAATGTAGAAAGCATTGAGACAAAGAACATACAAACTTAGACGGAGCGTCATTCACAAAAGTCAGTCGCCGTTTGCAGGATGCGAATAGCATTGACAAGGGGTTATCCAAGACATTAGTAGGTTATGACTGACAAGACATTGGGCTAGGACTAGGGTGGACCAATGTGGCCAAGCTGAGGACTGGAGGGGGGTTCGCTACAAAGCTTAGAAGAAAAAGGAAACCCGATGGTGGCAGCTAGAGTCTCACCGTTATGACCCCCATGGAAAGCAAAGCCCTGGCTCTATAGTGCCAACAGGAGATGGCGGCCAGCATGGAACTGGCAAAGTCCTCTACCTGGTCTTCCTCCATCAGAATATCATCTGAGTCACATTCCTCCCCCAGGGTCGCCCTGCCCTCGTGGGACGCTGACCCTGTCCTCGGCTCCTCAATGTCACTTGGGCTTAGCCTCTCAAGAGAGTCCTTCCTAAGGCCCATATCCTCCTCTTCTTCTTCCTCCTCCACGCTAGGCCTCTCAGCCTCGGACTCGCCTAGGCTTGAGCCCAGGGTGCTGACACTAGCGGCGGCCTGAATGGAGCGCGGGTCGTCTGGTAGGGCCCCTTCGCTGTCTGCGTGCTGTAGCGTGAAGTCACACAGATTTCCCTGGATCACTCAATGCATTTTGTCTGATGAACCACCTCAAGACCTATTCAGTAAAGCCTGTTGGGTATCTCCACACACTCAGCAAATACTCTGGATTGTGTGAAAACATGAGTCTTATTACAAAATCGTCTCATACCCACATGTCGTGACATTATAGAGCTAGAGTAAATCCCAGACAGTGCTATTAAGACCACTAGGGTGTCTAGGAATAAGACATTGATTGCCAATTGACACATGCATTTCACATTGCGTTCAGAGTTCCCCCACCTTCGGATAAGACACTGCATGGAGTGGAAATTGAATAGAATTCTGTTAATCTGTTCTGAACTAATCATGAGAAAGCAACCAGTTCCAAAATATATGTTTCTTTCCCCCAGGAAATGTATATCAACCCCATGGATGGATGTACAGCAATATGTCGTACAGTGGGGAGAACAAGTATTTGATACACTGCCGATTTTGCAGGTTTTCCTACTTACAAAGCATGTAGAGGTCTGTAATTTTTATCATAGGTACACGTCAACTGTGAGAGACGGAATCTAAAACAAAAATCAAGAAAATCACATTGTATGATTTTTAAGTAATTAATTTGCATTTTATTGCATGACATAAGTATTTGATACATCAGAAAAGCAGAACTTAATATTTGGTACAGAAACCTTTGTTTGCAATTACAGAGATCAAACGTTTTCTGTAGGTCTTGACCAGGTTTGCACACACTGCAGCAGGGATTTTGGGACTTCTCCAGATCCTTCATGTTTCGGGGCTGTCGCTGGGCAATATGGACATTCAGCTCCCTCCAAAGATGTTCTATTGGGTTCAGGTCTGGAGACTGGCTAGGCCACTCCAGGACCTTGAGATGCTTCTTACGGAGCCACTCCTTAGTTGCCCTGGCTGTGTGTTTCGGGTCGTTGTCATGCTGGAAGACCCAGCCACGACCCATCTTCAATGCTCTTACTGAGGAAAGGAGGTTGTTGGCCAAGATCTCGCGATACATGGCCCCATCTATCCTCCCCTCAATACGGTGCAGTCGTCCTGTCCCCTTTGCAGAAAAGCATCCCCAAAGAATGATGTTTCCACCTCCATGCTTCACGGTTGGGATGGTGTTCTTGGGGTTGTACTCATCCTTCTTCTTCCTCCAAACACGGCGAGTGGAGTTTAGACCAAAAAGCTCTATTTTTGTCTCATCAGACCACATGACCTTCTCCCATTCCTCCTCTGGATCATCCAGATGGTCATTGGCAAACTTCAGATGGGCCTGGACATGCGCTGGCTTGAGCAGGGGGACCTTGCGTGCGCTGCAGGATTTTAATCCATCCCAGCTCTCTTCAGGTCATTGACCAGGTCCTGCTGTGTAGTTCTGGGCTGATCCCTCACCTTCCTCATGATCATTGATGGCCCACAAGGTGAGATCTTGCATGGAGCCCCAGACCGAGGGTGATTGACCGTCATCTTGAACTTCTTCCATTTTCTAATAATTGCGCCAACAGTTGTTGCCTTCTCACCAAGCTGCTTGCCTATTGTCCTGTAGCCCATCCCAGCCTTGTGCAGGTCTACAATTTTATCCCTGATGTCCTTACACAGCTCTCTGGTCTTGGCCATTGTGGAGAGGTTGGAGTCTGTTTGATTGAGTATGTGGACAGGTGTCTTTTATACAGGTAACGAGTTCAAACAGGTGCAGTTAATACAGGTAATGAGTGGAGAACAGGAGGGCTTCTTAAAGAAAAACTAACAGGTCTGTGAGAGCCGGAATTATTACTGGTTGGTAGGTGATCAAATACTTATGTCATGCAATAAAATGCAAATTAATAACTTAAAAATCATACAATGTGATTTTCTGGATTTTTAGATTCCGTCTCTCACAGTTGAAGTGTACCTATGATAAAAATTACAGACCTCTACATGCTTTGTAAGTAGGAAAACCTGCAAAATCGGCAGTGTATCAAATACTTGTTCTCCCCACTGTATGTACATCGTCCATACCTCGTCATTACATTTCCTCAATTTAAGCCCACTAAACGAAATATGTCAATCTCCAGATGTACGTTTCCTCTCATTTGGGAAAAAGCCTTTCCTTTCTATGACGTCAGCCATCTTTGAAGGGCATGTTAACCAACATGATTAACCGCAGTTACCCTCGGCTCGGCTCTGAGAGCAGAGGTAAGAGCGGTATAATAGAGTTTGTTATCAAGGACAATTTAAAATGAATCACTCTGGGCTTACCTTGAGGACGGCTGCAGGATCCCCGCCGATAATAGGAAAAGTGAACAAGAGGGGGTAGAGAAATATTTCAGATGTTTAATAAAAGGACAAAGAGGAAAGTATTCAGTCAACTGTAATTACACAAGCCTATGATAAGCCAAATTAAAAATGCACGCAATGACTATGATTTCTCCCTGAAAATGACATTGAGTTCTCTTCACCAATGAATGAGTCTAATCTCCTTAGACGAAACCTGACCCAAAGTATCGTATGACTGACAGCTTAATATTGAGTTCGGAAAATTAATTTGTCAAATTCTGCAATCCGCCATCAGTTTGCTCGCAATGGGAAAAAAATACCCTTGACCATGCTATTGCTTGCCTTACACCTTTTCAACCAGCAGCGTTTCAGAATTCCCGTTGTTACAGTGACTAACATTGGTGACCATTTGTTAACGCTAACACTAAAACATGGAGAATATGACATTTGTGATGCCCAAACCTAGCTCACTTTCACACCACACAAGGTGCATGAGAAAATAAAATGGATAATCCTAACGGAACATTTTTCACTAAAATGTCTGAATCAATCTAATGGGCAAGAGACACTGATCGGCGCTCCAAACCACATTTGACTGCTAGAAAAGAGCTGGAGCGAAACTCGATGGAGCAACCAAGGGGCTTTTATGCTCTAATTTTATTAACCAAGGGGCTTTTATGCTCTAATTGTATTAACCAAGGGGCATTTATGCTCTAATTGTATTAACCAAGGGGCATTTATGCTCTAATTTTATTAAACAAGGGGCTTTTATGCTCTAATTTCAGAGGGAGAAGACCTTAGCCTTTAATCTCCTCAAAACACGGACAAAAAGGGCTTTCCTTTTACCTGCTACCCACAGTTCCTTTGAAGCACCTGCTGTGCCATTGTCCCTCATCACAGACTGGTGGAGCAGTGTACATTTGAATAGTGCACAATGTCTTTGTGTGACGTATTGTTTTATTAATGATGTAGACTATTGTTTTGTTGTGACGTGTTGTTCTGTTCCTGTTTGGACCCCAGGAAGAGCAGCGGCTGCCTTGACAGGAGGTAATGGGGATCCTAATCAAATACTAAATACTAGACATAGAATCCACCATTTGCACCAGCATCATAGGAGATGCGCATTTCCTCAAGCTAACCCTTTCATCTTTGGTTACCAACTGTGACTACTACACAGAGGAGGGGGGGGGGAATCTAGTTTTGTGTTTCCCAAATTCCTAATCTCATTTGAATGCCTCTCAAGTTGAATCTATCCGTTACAAGACAAATGCAACAGGCAAAAGTAAGTTCTGAACAGTCACAAAAGGTTCTCGGAGGTGTAATAATGGCTGATGATGACATATGAAATTGGCTGGGATGAAAGTGTCGTATCCTTACCTTTGGTGTTCTTCAGGATCTGTTTGGTTGGTTCTGAGAGAGAGAAATAGACAATGAGCACATCTCAAAAGGGAGACACTTCAGACGGTCCCCGCCTCATCACGATTCAAAACTACATGGATGGTCATTGTGAAATCCTTTTCAGAGAGATAGAATGTTTTAATTACGTAAATGTGACACGTAAAGCTACAAATCGTTCCAAATCTGAATCCAGGCTAAAAAAGCATGTGAGTTACCGTTAATGTTAGTTACGTGACTGACACACAATTTGAGCAGACACACAATTTGAGCATTGGCCAAATCTGATCAAAATGTGATTAAAGCTAGTGTCATAATATATATATGTCTCCCTATATATTTTCCCTGTACTTTCACATACACAGTAGCGAATGGGTTTGCGCATCAATAGAAGACCCGATTTGAGTTACAGGACTAAAGTTGGGTGCTTACCTGACTGTCGTCGCCCCTGACGACCTTCTCTGGGAAACTCGTCTGATTGGCAGACCTTTTTCATTCTCTCTGGACTGTACCGGAACTTTGATGGGTCTTTCAGGCACAGAGAAAAACAACATCAACTTAAAGTATAATGAATGACACATCATGATCCAAGAAACATTTTAATACAAATTCTTGCAAAAATGTTAAACTGATGCATGACGCTCAATCCACTCACTTTCCAATATTATTACAGTGTGTGGCTTTTGTATATAATTAACACATATATTAATGTTCATTTAAAGCACTAATGAAGAGGCCTGTAAAAGGGAGCGGTCTGACAGAATAAATACACAGCGACTGCCATTCCATCATTTCTATGACATCTATAAAAGAATAATTTATCTATACTGAACAAAAATATAAACACAACATGTAAAGTGTTGGTCCCATGTTTCATGAGCTGAAATAAAAGATCCCAGAAATGTTCCATATGTACAAAAAGCTTATTTCTATAAATGTTGTGCACACATTTGTTTACATCCCTGTTAGTGAACATTTTTCCTTTGCCAAGATAATCCATTCACCTGACAGGTGTGGCATATCAAGAAGCTGATTAAACAGCCTGATCATTACACAGGTGCACCTTGTGCTGGGGACAATACAAGACCACTCTAAAATGTGCAGTTTTGTTACACAACACAATGCCACAGATGTTTCAAGTTTTGAGGGAGCATGCAACTGGCATGCTGACTGCAGCAATGTCCAACAGAGCTGTTGATAGATCATTTGATGTTAATTTCTTTACCATAAACTGCCTCCAACATCGTTTTAGAGAATTTGGCAGTACGTCTAACCGGCCTCACAACCGCAGACCACGTGTAACCACGTCAGCCCAGGACCTCCACATCCGGCTTCTTTACCTGCGGGATCGTCTGAGACCAGCCACCCGGACAGCTGATGAAACTGAGGAGTATTTCTGTCTGTAATAAAGCAATTTTTGTGGGAAAACGATTTCTGATTGGCGGGCCTGGCTCCCCAGTGGGTGGGCCTGGCTCCCAAGTGGGTGGGCCTATGCCCTCCCAGGCACACCCATGGCTGCGCCCCTGCCCAGTCATGTGAAATCCATAGATTAGGACCTAATGAATTGATTTCAATTGACTGATTTCCTTATATGAACTATAACGCAGTAAAATCATTAAAATTGTTGAAATTGTTGCATGTTGCGTTTATATTTTTGTTCAGTATATTAAAAGCACCCTCTCTGCCACTCTGAAATAAATCAACTTCATTCCGATGTTGCTTGGATACAAAAATATGCTGGATAGATGTGGTGGCTGGGCAGTAAAGTGCATGAATTATCACTGTGAATACTCACAAATCGAGTCCATTTCTAAGATGGCCTCCTTTGCCTGATAGAAATAAACACAAAAACAACCATCAGCTATCCTCCCTTAGATTACCACGCCCCCCTCCCTCTGCCCTCTTTCATTTTAGCAATAGCACCTCATGTGTACCTTCTGAGGGATGATGGCTTGATGGTTTTCTAGAATGATCCTTTTGATGTGATGGGCCCATAGTTTTCTCTCTTCCACAGTCTTGGCCTGAGGGTAAGAGAGTGGGAGAGGAGAGGAGGGGTGAGAGAGGGTCAGGTAAGTTCCCAAACCTAACTCCTAACCCTTAAGTCTAAAATTGCCTGTTGTACTTATGGGGACCTGCGAAATGTGCCCACTTGTCTGTTTTTCTCCTTGTTTTACTATCCTTGTGAGGACGTCTGGTCCCCACAAGGATAGTAAAACCAACCCTCCCCCACACACACAATACTGTAATCTGATTCACATGCTACACAGGGTTACTATGGCATTCATGATTCTAAAAGTCCACTCCTAACGTGTCTTTATGTTCTCCTACCATGACTCTGAATTCCCATTAATTAGCCACTGTGGTACTGTGCGGTTGGTTGAGAGGTCTCCCTCACTCACCTGCACTGTGTGAGGCTGCTTGGGGTGCTTGTAGTGAGTGACGCTGAAGCACAGAGAGTCCTTGGCACTCTCGATCAGCATGAGGGTGGAGCACTTTAGCCAAAACACAAGAGAAATGAAAGACAAGTGAAATATTGTTAAAATAATTAGATTTAATACTGAAGTATATTCATTCATTCCGTGCGTAGGGGATACTTTGGCGTATCAAACCCAGTGTCACCAGAAAGAACGGAAAGACAAATGTGACATATCAGGAAGGTGGAAGAAAGTTAGAACGAGAGAAAGAATCGGGTCCAGTCCAAAGAATCCTAAATAGCTCCCTTTCCTTCATTATCACTGACGCAGGAAAGGAGTAGCTAGGTTACTCTCCTACTACCGAATCTGTCATTCATCATCAGGAAAGGAATAGCTAGATTACTCTCCTACCACCTAATCTGTCATTCATCATCAGGAAAGGAAGGAAATGGGGAAAGGAAGCTAGTTTAGTCCAATGGGACAGACATTAGCCACAGATAAGCCTAAACACACTCAGATCTGTTTTTCAATTGAATTAAAATTCAATTCAATACGTCTTCATTAATCCCCTTAGGGACCATTGAGAAGGCATTATCAGAGCATAAGGTCAAAATTACGTAAATCTCCAAATAATTAATATACAATAAATGCAACACAGGATATAGACATACATTTAATTACTTTTCGCCAATCAAACTGTAAGTGATTGGAATATAATGGAGATTTGAAACGGGACAAGGTGTTGTAGAGATCCTGATCCCCTTACCCTTGACCCCAGCAAGCAGCACTCACCGAGATGTGGGTCTTGTAGACGTAGTGCTCTCCTCGGCGCCGGGTGATGAGGAGCATAAGGTCGAAGAGGAAGAGTGTGCGCTCGTTCTTGGCCCGGTGGACCTTGAAGGTGCCCTCCAGGACCAGTTCCCCGTAAGTGGTCAGGTCCGGTCCTTTCCAGTTGATCAGCAACGACTGGACCTCCTGGACAAGCCAACACAGGTGAGGTGATGAAGGAGCACCTATTCATTAGATACCCAACAGCAGTAGACATCATAGGGGGAAAAAGGTTTCATTGTGGCGCGAGCCATGTTAAGCAATTCATTTCCCCAAAATGTTCAAGGGTGTTTCTTGAAGGTGTGCAATTATATGGGTATTTGGAGCATAGCCAGGTTGTTGGGGGTATTTTGGGGTCGTTGGGGCTATTTTGGGGTTGTTGGGGGGTGTGAGCGTATTTTGGGGTTGTTGGGGGGGGGGTGTTTTGGGGTCGTTGGGGTATGTTGGGGTTGTTTGTGGGTATTTTGAGGTAGTTTGGGGTAATAGATCCTCCAACCAGGATTAAATACATAATCAAGCCTAACTGCACATGAGAAACAAATCTATTCCAACAAGCTCCGACCAATAAATAGCTGGGCCCATGAGGAATTAGCCTAAGAACACACTGTAGTCGCTGTTTATTTTTACATGGCCTTTCACGACAAGCTCCCATGCACTGTCCTGAGAGAGCTACTCTGTGTGGGTCTCCTGGAGTTGACCGCGTCATGTTGCCCCTGGTCGGGAATTTTGTAGACTCAATCTAATTTAACAAGAGAGGAGAACCATGGAGGGTTTGAACTGTACATAATAATAATAATAATAATAATATGCCATTTAGCAGACGCTTTTATCCAAAGCGACTTACAGTCATGCGTGCATACATTTTTGTGTATGGGTGGTCCCGGGGATCGAACCCACTACCTTGGCGTTACAAGCGCCGTGCTCTACCAGCTGAGCTACAGAGGACCACATGATGGTCAGAACATTTGGCTTCGTCCCAAATCGCACCCTATTCCCTTTATAGTGCACTACCTTTGAACAGGGCCTATAGGAATCTGGTAAAAAAAAGTAGTGCACTATGTAGGGTATGGTTTGCCATTTGGGACGCAGCCCTTGACGTCCACGGAGCTGACCTGCTACAGCCTAATTGAAATGTAATGACAGCACAAGATGAGAGATGATCAGACAGACGGCCAGTGGGTTTAAATGTCAATTATTGTGTGAGGGGCTTATTCACATTGACTACACAGGGTGTGAAAGGATGTAGGTTTATGGTGTGAAATTATGGCGCGTGTTGATGGGTGTGTGTTCTGCTCTTTGTGTGGTAATTGTCTGGTAATTGTCTGAGAATATGTTTACATGGGTGTTTGCGTGAATGAGGCGTCTGCTAACCTGCAGTCGAACGGCGTGCTCATGTTTCCTCTTCATGTCGTTGATGTACCAGGCCACGCCTGTCATGGTGTAGATGGCTTCCTCCACTACCTCATAGCCTTCCTCTTCTGGGTCAAAGTGCTTGGCTATCTCCTGCAGAAGGAACACCATAGTTAGTTAAATTAGTCAACTCAGTGTGTGCACTTCTCACAGGCATGGCTCCGTAGTGAGAGTTGTTCTGTTTGTTCTTGTAAGAAGTTGAACCTCTGGTGTCAATATATCATACATACATACATACATACATACATACAGTGCCAGTTAAAAGTTTGGACACACCTACTCATTCAAGGGTTTTTCTTTATTTTTACTATTTTCTACATTGTAGAATAATAGTGAAGACATCAAAATGATGGAATAACACATATGGAATCATGTAGTAACCAAAAAAAAGTGTTAAACAAATCAAAATATATTTGCCAAGAGTGTGCAAAGCTGTCATAAAGGCAAAGGGTGGCTATTTGAAGAATCTCAAATATAAAATATATTTTGATTTGTTTAACTCTTTTTTGGTTACTACATGATTCCATATGTGTTTTCCATAGTTCTGATGTCTTCATTATTATTCTACAATGTAAAAAATAGTAAAAATAAAGAAAAACCCTTGAATGAGTAGTTGTACTGGTACTGTATCTGAATAATTTCAAGCTCCTTTGGAGAACCCGAATTGGTTATTTCAAAAATGCATCCTTTCTTCCTCCAATCCTCAGAGTAATTACTGATCTGACATGGATGGATAGGGGAAATCTATGAAGTGGGAGGGTAGGAAGGAAAGATGCATTTGAACCAGGATGCTGTGAAATGGCATTCCTTGGGTGGTTAGTTTCTATCTACCTGGAGTAACTGTGGTACGTGACGATCCTCTCAACAGGCTGTATTCAAAGAGTATGAGTGCTGATCTAGGATCAGGTCCATATAATCGTATTCATTGTGACCTAAAAGGCAAAACTGATCCTATCTCTGTACCTGAAGCAGTAGGTGGTACTTGAGGATCCTCTGTACAGGCTTGAGCAGGTAGGAGCCCAGGGGAAGGGAGCGTTTCAGAGAAGCCTGCCGCTCGCGGAACAACTTGGCCAGAGATTTGTTCCTCATGCAGTCTGTCAGAGCAGCCACAGAACTAGATGGAGAGAGGACCGGGTCAGTACTACAGAAACAGACCTAGATGGAGAGAGGACCGGGTCAGTACTACAGAAACAGACCTAGATGGAGAGAGGACCGGGTCAGTACTACAGAAACAGACCTAGATGGAGAGGACCGGGTCAGTACTACAGAAACAGACCTAGATGGAGAGGACCGGGTCAGTACTACAGAAACAGACCTAGATGGAGAGAGGACCGGGTCAGTACTACAGAAACAGACCTAGATGGAGAGAGGACCGGGTCAGTACTACAGAAACAGACCTAGATGGAGAGAGGACCGGGTCAGTACTACAGAAACAGACCTAGATGGAGAGAGGACCGGGTCAGTACTACAGAAACAGACCTAGATGGAGAGAGGACCGGGTCAGTACTACAGAAACAGACCTAGATGGAGAGGACCGGGTCAGTACTACAGAATGAGTCTAGAGGAAAGTCTTGTGTTGTAATTATTCAATCACTGTCCAACACTTAGTTCTGTGAATGGATAAAGCTGGTGCACATCTACACACTTATCATCTCTAGTACAATTTAATGTTTGTGTCAAATAAGCTCCCCGATTTATCCATTTAGATATTATCCTTTCCATTATTTTTGCATCTCACCCATTTAGTTTGAGCAAAATGACTATAATTTGTACATAACATCTCTGGAGTGGGTTGAAAACACAACTAGTAGGTGTGTAGGATGCACAGGAGGTCAGTGGCACCTTAATTGGGGAGAACGGGCTCGTGGGAATGCCTGGAGAAGAATCTGTGGAATGGTATCAAATACATCAAACACATGGTTTCCAGGTGTTTGATGACATTCCATTTGCTCCGTTCCGGCCATTATTATGAGCCGTTCAACCCTCAGCAGACTCCACTGGTACAATGAGATTTTTCCAGAGAACTCCTTTCTTGAGTAACAGCACAGCAAACAGAGTATACTTTCCACCACTAGGTGTCAGTAGCAGACATCCCCCAATATCTGAAGTCATCCACGGTTTTCTTCACATGCTCAGTCTGTTTCTGGGAACAGTTGAACCAGTAAAGCTGCACATGCCAGGTACACTGGCCAGTTAAGAGAGTTCACTTACTTTGGGTAGTTGGTACAGTACTGTGTATAGATCTCAAAATACTCTCTCTGAAAGAAAAAATAATACATTATATAGTCTCAATATTGTTAGATCGAGTGTTAATCCATAAAAAATGATGACGAGCTATTGGTTTCAAGCACTGGACTAAAATATTCAGTAGGGCAGAGAATCATGCATAGCAGAACAGGACTGGAATTGCACTAACCTTCATGACAAAGCACCTAGCGATGGCAACAGGGTCGTTGTCACACATATCTAAGGACTGCAGCAGTTCACTGCAATAGAGAGGTCAGAGGGAAGAGGTCAAAGGTGAGGCCTGGTTAGATTGAGATCAAATGGCAAATTATACAGTATGACTTATCGTAGTGCAGTACATTTCAATCACACTTGTAACATACAAACCAAAGCAGCATTTATTTCAGGCTTTTGTCGACAATCCCCTACATTTCATAATCGATAATAGAAAAAGAGAGGTGGTTAAATATGGTTCTGTTGCCATCTTGTCTTCGTGCCCAGAGTTGTTTGCTTTGGAGCGTCGGGAGCCATGACCACAGGGGAAATGGGAAAGACAATCTTCCAGCGTTGAGGAGTCCAAATCACACTGGATGCCCTACCACACGAGAGACACAGCAAACCCAGACTGCACGCCACAGCACACCATGCCCTCAGTGCTAGCATGCACTTAGTCAGCAACTTCAAACGGGCAAACCAAAACTTACCATCCACAACCAATGGAGTAGCAAAAAAAGTCCCCCGGTGAGACTAAACAATGAGGGGACGACAACAGACAGACGTGTCAGTTTGGTAAACAGGGTCTGAGGCCTCTCTGTCTTGAAAGTATTCGGTCTCAGGGAGTTTAGCCATATAGCAGCAGGGAATACATTAGTGAAGACGTTTAAAAACATTTTTAGTACAGGGTTTTAATTACAGGGCTGACTGGTAGAGGCAGTATAAGAACATGTAAAGACTGATAAAGGGACAAGAGTTGGGGAGAAAATGGAAGGAGAGGAGGTGAAGAGAGGGAGAGAGGAGAGGAGGTGAAGAGAGGGAGAGAGATAAGAAGAGAACAAGTAGCAGAAGCCTTGGAATGATTTAACCGTCTGGAAGAGGAATAAAGAAAATGGCTACCTGGGAAGCATTACCCATGATCTCCCTTTAACATGTAACAGGGACACATTTGGGTACAAGATGAAGATAAATTCCCCACTCTGAAGGACTGCTATTGGGCATTGCCAGTGAGGAAGCAGACAGGTAAAGAGCTTCAGGGCAATCGCAGGTTAGTTGAAGGTCGACAATACCTCAGAACAGAACAGTTTGCACATATCTCTTTTCTCACTGAGGGGAAAACCCACCATCAGCACATAATTGAACAAACCAACCCTTGGTGGGTTAAATAAGAGATAAGAGTGGCTATTCATCCAGTAACGACGCCAACAGGACTAATGCCTTCTCTATTTCTAACCATGAGTTAGAAAAACACAGGAATCAAATAAGTTACTTTGTTCCAGACCGGACGCACTTCATGCCAAGTCATCAACCATCCCTTGATTCATTGTCAGTTTGGAGAAGAGATGTAGGCCTACTTAGATAACATAACTGTAGGGCCGGGACGATACCAGTATTGTGATACTCATTAGCATCGTGGCAAGTAAACAAAACACAAAGCGGATTTAACTTCTTTAGGAAAACAGACCTAATGTTGGAAACAAACATCATTATGTTGTTATCCAGAGTCACATGTATTTATTTTCCAAGCTATAGCACACAATATTTTACATACAGCAGGTTTTTAAAAGGACCAAATATATATGGGGTACTTTAGCAATGGCGATTTGTTATCTGTTACGGTTATGATAAATTAGGCATTGTTGCGATCTGTTGGCATAAATGCGCACATCTTTTTTTTCAGTGCGGGCCTTGTGTTCAAAAAGTATTATTATTTTCTGTATCTTTTGTACTAAAAAAAGAAAATCGGAGTACTCGAACAGTCAAAAAATGACAAATGCCCATCCCTAATACAGTACACCCCATTTACTGGATTTCTGTGAAAGGAAGATATGTAGGGCAATGGTTTCACACAAATACCACGAAGAAAGGGCGGGTGATATGATAGGCACATCCCTGAACTTGAGAATACCAGTACTGGGCAAAAAAAATTATACTGAGATAAAGGATTGAGCGGCCCGTACACAGAAGATTGCTGCTCCCCAGGCTCACAACCCTTTTGCTGTGGTTGCAGCCGAGTCTGATCTACCTTCCTGACCGCTGCACTCGTTTCGCTTCACTTCCACAAAGGGAATCTGACAGCCAATCATCTATACCAGTCTGCCTAAAACCTGACAAATAATCATCCATCTTGATTTGCTGGCTCGTGCAATACTCATATACTGTACACTACAGAAGTTGTTCAAGGATGTACTCTACTCTGTAAAGGCCTCTGAACAGTGACCCCGAAAAAAGTGCCACTGAATGATCCTACCTCTTCTCAATAGGCAGGGCTTGAAAAGGCTTATTTGGTGCTACACATCATACAAAATACTCCAGTTTAAAAAAAAAAAATTATTCCAGTGATCCTGGGGCAAGCAATGATGACTTTCGTTAGAGGACATCATTAGAGGACATTGGGAAAAAACATGTAGTTTGGCCAATGAAAATAAGCACGACGCCATTTTCTTTGTGCTTACTTAATGATATACTTCTTACGTGCTATTGCAGTAGTAGGGGAAAGGGGAGGGTATTGGTGTACCATCTCTAACTTCAGGGAGTATTGCATGTCATCGTATATCAGAGTTAAAAAGGACAGGACCCACCACTAACAAACATGGGTCTCATTGTTGTGGATGCCGAAGCATAGCTGGGACTCTCCAATCTCAGGCACTCTGGGATAGCACTGGGTAGTGAGGCGTGTGGCCTTGGACAGGACCGTTCACTAACAAACAGTAGGACAGTGGTGACGTTACTGGTCATGAGGGGAGCTATCTTTAACACACAGCTTTTGGTGTTGTTCATAAGCTTCACTGAATAAGAGGGGAGAGAGCGGCTATTTGTATTTGTGTTTGTTTGTGTGTGTGTGTGTGTGTGTGTGTGTGTGTGTGTGTGTGTGTGTGTGTGTGTGTGTGTGTGTGTGCCCACATACATTATGTGGGGAGGCAGTGTGGCCAAAGTATTTATTTTTCCTAAACACAGGACTTCGCGCCTTTTCACTTGCGACCCAAATCTCACTCTCTAATAGGCATCTCTGTGGGTCTCTGGCTCTAGATCTGACACGCTAATACAACTGAGCCTTTCAGAGCACAAAGGACCACTGTCAACACAGGCGGGCCTTCTGTAAACTGTTCCCTGGCACCATGAACCAACTGTGGTGTACAAACCCTTGACGACAAAATGAGGAGAGTGGTTGCCTGTCACAAAAAGTGTTACAGAGTAAATACGCTGTTTCATTGTATACTGGAGCGAGATGTGCAAAGAACACGTGTGTGTGCCTATGGCGCGTGTTAATGTGTGCCCCAAATGCCCTCATCAAATCCATAGTCATTAACGTCGTCATCCAAGATCAGCAATCAACATTTCCATGACAGCAATTTCACCCATCAAATCAGGCACATCATTTCTGAAATTGTCCTCTCGTGAATATTTAATGAACGTGACTTTGACTGAGGATCCTCACTCGTGTTGTGTTAAAGACACAATAGTTTCATCATTAGGTGAATAGAATTGCCTTGCCAATGTCAATAGTGTTAATCAGTGTGCATGTTTGCCACTGTAACTTGGGTACTGGGAAAAAACAGTGTCACTCACTCATTCAGTCGTTCACTCCTTCATTCAGTAATTCACTACATCCTCACAAGGTAAGAGAAATGAGTTTGTCAGTGGCTCACCTGTTGAACTCGTAGATGTCTTCGATGTTTCCGAACAGGGCACACACCTGCTCTGGCCTAATGGGTAGGTCTGCCTGGTCGATGATGTGGGCCAGGTAGTCCTGCAACACAGATATAGTTGAATGCACCAATTTGTAAGTCGCTCTGGATAAGAGCGTCTGCTAAATGACTCAAATGTAAATATAGGTATAACTCAGTCACAATTCACCTGACAACAAACTGACAACATCATGACGCAAAGGAGCAAAATCTTAGAATTTAGGTGAATAGAAATAAAAGTGGATTAATTTACTTTTATTCCTACATTTTATTGTGGACCTTCCTCTTTTCATCACTGAGCATTTTAGGTCCACGCACCATCTACTAAATAAAAGTATAACGAACTAGTGCCTTGTTCATGAAACATGCTCATACCTAGTCTTGAAAACCCAGGTATGCTCCTTTTTGTATTTTCAAAGAGCTATGGACACCTATCAATTCATAACACAATGTTTTACTGTCCTATTACCACCGGGATTTATTTGGTATAAATGACTTGGTCCCGTACGGACTCGGGAGAGGTAAAGGTTGAGAGCCATACGTCCTCCGAAACACGGAAGCCAGCCGTACCAATGTGTTGGAGGAAACACCGTCCAACTGGCGACACGAGTCAGCGTGCATGCACCCGGCCCGCCACAAGGAGTCGCTAGAGCACGATGGGACAAGGACATCCCGGCCGGCCAAACCCTCCACTAACCCGGACGACGCTGGGCCAATTGTGTGCCACCTCATGGGCATAACGGTAGCGGCCGGCTGCAACACGTCTGTAGTGACGCCTCTAGCACTGCGATGCAGTGCCTTAGAACGCTGCGCCACTCGGGAGGCCCCCTTTGTTTTGTACACACTTTTCCTCACGTGTCTCTGTTGTGTTTGCATTCTGTGTTTCTATGACAAACAAAGGATGGGGATGTATTAGGGACATCTTACTGTCTTTGATATGGAGGCACAGTATGATAGAACTGTTTCACAAGAAATTAGGGGGGCCAGAAATACAGGGTACGAGTATGGCTAATTGTGGTATGCGTGTCACTGTAGGCATGGCATCATAGAAATAGGCATGACATCACAATGCAGGAAATGGTATAAAAGCCCAAATCCACCAGTACTGATTAAGTTGTGTGACAGAGTGCTGTTGGTACATAGAATTAGGAATTAGAATACTTAAATACAATTAGAATACTTAAAGAGTAATACAATATGATCTCTATGTGTTGGTAAGTACCTTCATCTGACTTCAGTCATACCTTAATGGAGTGTCCCAAATGGCACGCTATAAAACACACACACACACACACAGACACACACACACACACACACAGACACACACACAGACACACACACACACACACATATACACTGCACTACTTTTCACCCGGGCCGGCCCACAGGGCTCTTGTCAAAGGTAATGCACTATATAGTCTGGTAGTGCACAACCTTAGTCTGTTTTTTAGGAGTATTAGCTCTTTATTGTGATTGTTCAGATAACTGCGTAGAATTTTCAACGGTGACTAAAATAAGAAAAAGTTATTCGTACATGTATACTGTAGAACTGCTCATAGGCTCTTGGTGATGATTGTGTTCTTTGCATTCTCTCTCTATGGAATAAGATATATGGGATTGGTGTCTTGTGTTAATGGTGTATTTAGCCTATATGTTCTGTAAATGTTGTTTTATATGTTCTGTTACTCCTGTTAGAAGAAGAATGGCAAATGAATCGAGCAGTCCTGACCTAAGGATCAAAGGTCAGAGAGGACTCACGGATAAAAGAGAGGACGGGTCAAAGAGAGCAGAGAGCACCAGGGAGAGGTGCAACATCGTACTCCGTAAAGAAATGGAGAGGAGGTGGGAGGAGAGAGAGAGACCAAGAATCAGCGCCTAAAAGATAAGCTCCGCCGGATGGAGGAGGAAGAAGCAGAGCAGGCTCAGGAGGAAGAAGCAGAGCAGGCTCAGGAGGAAGAAGCAGAGCAGGCTCAGGAGGAAGAAGCAGAGCAGGCTCAGGAGGAAGAAGCAGAGCAGGCTCAGGAGGAAGAAGCAGAGCAGGCTCAGGAGGAAGAAGCAGAGCAGGCTCAGGAGGAAGAAGCAGAGCAGGCTCAGGAGGAAGAAGCAGAGCAGGCTCAGGAGGAAGAAGCAGAGCAGGCTCAGGAGGAAGAAGCAGAGCAGGCTCAGGAGGCCGCAAAGCCATCTTGGAGGCAGAGAGAGCGAGAAAAGGACTGGTTGAGAGGGTCAGGACCAGGATCCAGGAGGAGACCAACAGAAGAACGGAGTTGGAGGAAGAGCTAGGGAAGATCAAAGTAGGACAAGCTGGAGAAACTCCAACAAATGAAAAGGAAAATAGAGATGTGCCTTAGAAAGAATACGGAAGAGGAGTTTGAAGGACGACTACAGGAAGCTATTCAAGAGATTGAGAGGAAGAAAAAAGCTGAAATGGAGTGGTTCAAGGCCATATGCAGGGAGGCGCAAAACCCGAAAGACTGATCTCCAGTTGAGACAGACGAGGATCATGAAAGCTGGTAGAGAGCGTCAACAACAGTTTGAGAGGCTAAGATGGCAGGCAAGGCAGACATTATGACAAAGATTATGAAGATGATATGACATTATATGATGACAATAACGATGATGTATGATTACATTATGATGATGATTATTCAATAGCACAATAGTGTTCGTAATTGCAATTGTTGTTAATTTAGTATTAACATTTTGAATAACAGAAAGCGAATGAGAGAATGAGTGCCCAGAGCCTGACAGAGCTGCAGGTAGAAGGTGATCAGGCTGCGCCGGAGACCCGGGGACTCATCGTGTGCAAGCCCAGGCCCCAGGCCGACCTCACACCACAGTTATGGCTCCAGACCCAGACCAGGATTCAGAGCCCGAGATGGCTGCCGAGGCTCAATGTATAGTGATGGACATCGAGCTTGATGACAACGAATGCGTCGATGTCAATGTTGTCTACAAGGGGAGGATCGTCCCTTCGTTGGTGATTGAAGAGGCCAAGCAGAGGCTCCTCAAGGAGGCAGAGGAAGCCAAGCAGAGGCTCCTCAAGGAGGCAGAGGAAGCCAAGCAGAGGCTCCTCAAGGAGGCAGAGGAAGCCGAGCAGAGGCTCCTCAAGGAGGCAGAGAAAGCCGAGCAGAGGCTCCTCAAGGAGGCAGAGGAAGCCGAGCAGAAGGCTCCTCAAGGAGGCAGAGGAAGCCGAGAAGAGGCTCCTCAAGGAGGCAGAGGAAGCCGAGAAGAGGCTCCTCAAGGAGGCAGAGGAAGCCGAGAAGAGGCTCCTCAAGGAGGCAGAGGAAGCCGAGAAGAGGCTCCTCAAGGAGGCAGAGGAAGCCGAGCAGAGGCTCCTCAAGGAGGCAGAGGAAGCCAAGCAGAGGCTCCTCAAGGAGGCAGAGGAAGCCAAGCAGAGGCTCCTCAAGGAGGCAGAGGAAGCCAAGCAGAGGCTCCTCAAGGAGGCAGAGGAAGCCGAGCAGAAGGCTCAGGCCGAAGCCTTTGAGATTGAACGTCGGAACATCATCGTGGAGCTGAAGAAGAGCCACAAACAGTTCCTGGTGGATGAAGATGAAAATGAAGCGAGAGAGGAAGAAGAGGAGAAGACAGGAGGAGCCAGAAGGCTCAGATTGCGCCAGCCTCCAGCCCGAGATCAGTGATGAAGAGGAGGACGACTTCCAAGATGAGGCAGAAAAGAAAGCGTTCATCAAAAACAGTAAGTGCAGAAGGGCGGTGTACTGGGTGGATAAAACAGTAGGTGCAGAAGGGCGGTGTACTGGGTGGATAAAACAGTAAGTGCAGAAGGGCGGTGTACTGGGTGGATAAAACAGTAAGTGCAGAAGGGCGGTGTACTGGGTGGATAAAACAGTAAGTGCAGAAGGGCGGTGTACTGGGTGGATAAAACAGTAAGTGCAGAAGGGCGGTGTACTGGGTGGATAAAACAGTAAGTGCAGAAGGGCGGTATACTGGGTGGATAAAACAGTAAGTGCAGAAGGGCGGTGTACTGGGTGGATAAAACAGTAAGTGCAGAAGGGCGGTGTACTGGGTGGATAAAACAGTAGGTGCAGAAGGGCGGTGTACTGGGTGGATAAAACAGTAAGACAAAATTCACCAGACAAAGATGGAGAAGACCTTCGTAAATGAGGAGAAGAAAGGATTGGTCTTCAAAGATACAGGCACAAGAACAGGGCCAAGCTGCTGAGGGCAATGGAGGAACGAAAGAAGGTAGAGGAGGAATGGTTCAGGAGCCAAAAGGGGGAAGTCCCAGAAGAAGCAGGCCAAGAGGCAACAGAAGATGGAGGAGATGTCCGACGCCCAACCCTATCCAAAACAGGTACAATTCTCAGGGTTTGACCTCCTGTTGAATAAGTGTGCGTAATTTGAGTATATCACATATTATTACAAAGTAGATTATTTTGAAGGGTGCAAACTAACTGCCACAATCAGACAACATGAAGGTAAATGTAGCGCTGAACGTTCCGAGTTAGTGAAATGGGTTAAGGTTCATTTGTTTTGCGCATTAGGGAACCTCAAAACAGTTATGGGTGTGCATGCACTTGTCATTGATGAGAAATAACTTCAATTCAACATATGAAAATAGTCCAATTTTTGCAGTTATAATACATTTTCAGAATTAGTCTGTGAAGTTGGCACTAATGACATTATATCCTGAAAGAGCTAATATACAGACAACAAAGTTCCATCCTGATTAAACTAATGCTCATGTCCATTTTCTCTTACATATGAGTCTTCTCCCATTGTCCTCTATTGGGGGTGAAAGACTGCCAGACAGAAACCTTTCCCCTAACTGCATATACCAGATCACTTCTCCCCTCCCGCCCCTCCTTCAAAAACACCCCCCTCCTTTTTTTTGTCCCTCCTCCTTTCTCACGTCACCTCACTGAACATTTGATCAGCCTGAATGAGACCCCCACACACACACACTGCCCCTAATTTCTTTACTTTTTCTACTTATTTTTGCATTAAAATGGTATTTGGCTAATAAAGTCTATTTACTGAAATACTTTTTTTGATTCAAAGCCTCTTTTTTTATCTACCCTGATTGCCTCTATATTATTGTGGGTTGTATCTAACCAATACATGTCAAAGTTCAAACATATCTAACAGCAATTATTCTGAGATACTCAATTGTTACACTGATAACATGACATTTAAGTATGTTTTGAAAATTCATACTGTAGTTACCCTACCATTATCTGGATGATGTTTGACAGGACTGCTATTTTATTGTCAGATTTTTATATAAATTATGTCCGTAGACTGAAACTTGTGTCTAAAAAAAAAAAGGGAGCAGTCAGTCAGCATTATTTGAGGGTCTGGGTTGACCTCTGAACTGTAAACCCTCAATAATTGAGAGTGTGTGGTGTGTTGTGTGTGTGTGTGTGTGTGTGTGTGTGTGTGTGTGTGTGTGTGTGTGTGTGTGTGTGTGTGTGTGTGTTGTGTGTGTGTTGAATATTGATGCCACTTTGTGCTAAAATAATACTATGAAACCCTCCAGCTTCCAGTTGAGGTACTTCCATAGTCATTCACGTTGGGTGGAGTTGTGTGTGTGTGTGAAACAGTTAGTCATCCATCCACTAGAGGGCGTGAGTGAACAAACAACTCGCCCCAGCGGTAGCAGCAGTCTCCCTCACCCTGGTGTAACCTGACATCGGTCTCGTTTTTGTCTAGCAGTTCAAAACGCTCCGACAACAGACAGTAATCAAGCTGGTTGACCAAAATAACGCCGTTACCACCCACGTAAAAGTCAGCTTCCAATTTGACGCAAGCGAACGCAAAAGGTATCCGCTTTACTCAATGTAAGCAAGCATCAGAGAGGAGCTTTCGCAGTCCATGTCTATGAGCTTATGTACTAGATCTGTGATGTCATGGCTTAATATGCTGCATTTTGTTCATCCTCCTGGGAATGGGAGACTTACATTATAGTACTCTTAACGTGGACAAATAAAGGATAGGAACTGTGTGTGGACTATGTACTTTAAACTGAAGTGGTCAACTCAGGTCAAGGGATCATACGAGGTGAACAGAGAACACCAGCGAGAACAGAGATGCTTCAATGACTGTGTACGTCCTGGCGGTTGTCTGAACATTTGAGTTGAGTTGTACCATGACCTAGTTGTACCATGACCTAGTTGTACCATGACCTAGTTGTACCATGACCTAGGCCCAAAACAGGTTTTTGAAGGACACAACTTTGTTCAGTCTGGTGAATTGAGTTGAGGTCAAATAAAACTGAACAAAAGCTTATGAGCGATTGTTTACAAGTACACACATAGGTGGGGCGGTGCATGCACATCAGTCTGTGTTCATCTCCGAATGCAAATCTTCATTGAAATAGTTCATTACACAATGACGTGTGTAAATTTCCCCTTATCCAAAAACACACGTACCTAATCTTTCGTAAATACACAAACGTGTTATTCAACAGATGCACATAATCTCAAGGTTTATCTTACAGTATGTACCAATTTACTTACACAAACACACATACACACACAGGTACCTACACACACATATATATATACGGGCACACACACACACACACGTACGCACAAACAAGTGTAAACTGGGCTGTTGTGGAGGCATGTTAGATTACAGTCAAACTGAAATGCAGTCAAGGTATAATCAGCAAAGCAGATCAGACCTCAGATTTAGGATTAGCTCACAATGTTCAGCTGTCTATTTACACTTTCATTTCCAAATCCAACACACCCCACTCCACACTGTTAGTATCTAAACAGTTACTTTCCCCCCATGAAATAAAGCAAGATCCTAATATCAATATGTTTTAGTTTAATTTCCTTCTCAATCACAGGTTACAGTTTAGCGCCCCCTTCTGTTTAATGTGTGTAACTCTTCCCTGGCGGCCAAACAAGGGAGGTCTCCTTTTCCCTTATTCCCTGTAAATCAAGGCTTTCCTCAGTGTAAATTTGACAACATGCTCCTTGGGGACTACTTTCTCTCATCTATTCAACACATGTTAGAGATACCAAGAAGATGTGGTGATGTAGACAGACACAGCTGAGCGAGAGAGAGCGAGAGCGAGAGACACACAGGGAGAGGGAGAGGCGGGGAGGGACAGACAGAGAAAAATAGAGGGAAAGATGGAGAGACAGCGAGAAAGAGAGACAGCGAGAAAGAGAGAGAAACAGAGAGAAAGAGCGAGAGACAGAGAGAGAGTGAAACAGGGAGACGGGGAGGGACAGACAGACAGAGAGAGAGACAGCGAGAAAGAAAGAGTCAGAGAGAAAGAGCGAGAGAAAGAGAGAGAGAAACAGAGACAGGGGGAGAGAGTCAGTGAGAGAGAGAGAGAGAGCGCGAGAGAGAAAGAGAGAGAGAGAGAGACGACCCCAGGCTAGTGCTAATGTCGGTGGCTTCATGGGTATGCTGTATGGTTGGGAACACTGGTTTGAATCTCGACTCGACCGTGGCAGAGAAGGATCCTGTTACATATGGTTGGATGAATAAATTGGGTGGGGTAGTGTTTGGAGCCGTGCCTGAATACACTGACCTATTTGGTGCAAACGTATTCGAGTCAGCATATTTCAGTAAAAACATACATAATGAATTCTAATGAATGAATACACAGGCAATCCACGTCCCAGAGGGTTATGGTATCCGCTCATCAAATACAGTCGAGAAATGGTGTCAGTGGAGATGTCATTAAAAGCACATCAAAACTATTACGTGGACTGAAGCCCACTGGATGAGTTAATAGTCCACGGTGAAATCAGTTCTTTCTGCTTCGACGGAAAAGTAAACATTCCCCGAATGTGGCTTGAAATTCCTTCAGATTTTGTGGAACACCGCTCATTTTCCAATCTTACGGATTTACCTCACTGAGGCATAGTTTTGCTAAAACATTTCCAAGTTCATGGGGAAATTCCAGCTCTTGCGAAACCCGCACACGTACAATGTATCGTTTTACATCTCTGAACCAGTTAAAGGGGCTCGAATGAAAATCAAACCAGGCACCATGGCCAGCACCCAAAATCCACAAACGTCAAAGATGGAATTGTGAGAGAAAATACTGAGTAATAAGTATGGGTTGTCTCTATGGTTGAATGACTAAACACCTCCCTCTGCAACTGGATCCTGGACTTCCTGACGGGCCGCCCCCCAGGTGGTAAGCTTCCTGACGGGCCGCCCCCCAGGTGGTAAGGGTAGGTAACGACACATCTGCCACGCTGATCCTCAACACGGGTGCCCCTCAGGGGTGCGTGCTCAGTCCCCTCCTGTACTCCCTGTTCACCCATGACTTTTGGCCAGGCACGACTCCAACACCATCATTAAGTTTGCTGACGACACAACAGTGGTAGGTCTGATCACCGACAACGATGAGACAGCCTATAGGGAGGAGGTCAGAGACCTGGCCGTGTGGTGCCAGGATAACAACCTCTCCCTCAACGTGATCAAGACAAAGGAGATGATCGAGGACTACAGGAAAGAAAAGAGGACTGAGCACGCCCCCATTCTCATCGACGTGGCTGTAGTGGAACAGGTTGAGAGCTTCAAGTTCCTTGGTGTCCACATCACCAACAAACTATCATGGTCCAAACACACCAAGACAGTCGTGAAGAGGACACGACAAAGCCTATTCCCCCTCAGGAGACTGAAAAGATTTGGCATGGGTCCTCAGATCCTCAAAAAATTA